CGAAATAATAAATGAAATATTTGCACTAAATAGCACTAAAACCTAAGTCAGTTTCTTAAATAGCACTTAAATTGTTTTATTCTCCAAATAACACTTAATAATGTCCATAATATCCTGTGATGCCGAATATTTACTTGAATAATGACTAATGTATAATGACTAAAAGTACTACATTGGGAAGAAAAACACATGTGGTGCTATTTATGGAAACTCATTATGTTTTAGTGCTATTTAAGTAAATCACTCATAATAAATTTACATCCATTGTATTAATTAAGACGTACGTAAAATAGATTTATTTTTTCATCCTAAAATAATCAAACAAGATGAGGGAAAATAAATTTATTTTCTCCTCCCAAATTTTCAACACTTATTTTCTTTCTTTATTGAAAAAATATCCAAACATGAGGTGAATATATATCATTACTATATGTCTTAACGATATGAGTTGTATTTTGGTGATCCTATGATCCAAATGTGAAATTTGGTCATTCTTACATTTTTTATGAATTAACAAGTATATCTTTTTAAAAAAAAGGTTCAATTCTTTCATACTATTTATTTATACACTCCTATTTATGTTTAACATTCTCTCTCCATTTAATAATTCACTTTTAACCTATTAAATAAAGTTATTCATCAATCACATTCAAAGAAAAAAAATTTCATCCATCAATTGTTTTAATTTTTAAATAACTTTTGAGTAAATTCTATAATTGGTCCTTTATAACAGGGGGTTTCCCTGTTTAGTCCTTTATTATCAAATATTACCCAAGTGGTCCTTCTTTTATGCGTACCTTTCCACAGATATTCCTTTTTTTGATCTTATATCATATTGGTGTTAATTTGAGGGCTAAAAGTGTAATTTCACAATGATAATATATCTTTTTTGTCATACACAATTCCAAAGGCTGTTCCGTTTGCGTCGTTTGTGAATTACAGTCGCTTTTTACGACAACTATAGTCTACAAATGTGATCTTTCGTCAGAATCCTAGCCCACAATCATAGTCATTATTTTTGTGTTATCCGCTTAACCAATATCAGAACACGTCACTAGACATAATGTTGACGTCAA